TAGAACCAAGGGGATAATACCTTAGAGCATGTTGACTATGACATATGTAATTCACACATCCACTGGTCCTAGCTAGTCTTAAACGTAAGGGTATATTGTGTAATCGAATGTGAAAAACTCCGCTATACATATTTATAGGTCAATGGTAGTTACACATTTTTAAGGCAATTCATCCATCAGAGATCTGAAGACAGTACTGATGTTGGCTCTAAACCCAGGTCGACGTAAGTATGAAATTGAAATCCAATTTAGGTCAGTCTTTAGTATGAGTAATGAGTAATAAATGCATCAACCCGCCATGACTATCCCAAATTCCCTACCATTTACACGCTTCGTAATTTATTTGGTATCATCGTGCCATATCTAGCTTATCGTATGCTTACACGTGTCTCTACCATTTACATACATGTGTCATGATTTCATTGGTATCATATCATCGCGTTATGGTTCCATTGGTATCATCGCGTTATGGTTCTATTGGTATCATCGCGTTATGATTCCATTGGTTTTATCTCGTTATGGTTCCATTGGTTTTATCTCGTTATGGTTCCATTGGTATCATCGCGTTATGATTCCATTGGTATCATCGCGTTATGGTTCTTTTGTTATCATCGCGTTATGGTTCTATTGGTATCATCGCACCATAGGTTAGCCTACCACATGCATACATGCGCCATAATTTCTTTGTGATTATCGCCAATGTTTACATTTTACGGTTATAAATAGTAGACAAGTCTACCCCTGTTTAATACCTCAAAAGATTTATTTGTAATGTAGGATGGAGGTTTTCAGGTTCTTCATAATGGTTTTAAACCTTTTAGGTGATTTTGTTAGAGGATTATGTTATGTGGGAATAGGTGGTATCGGAAAGAAGGGTGTTTGCCTAAAGAACGTCTGCCGATGTTGTCCTCGTCATACTTTATGGTAAATCCTACTCAAATATGCATGTTTTATTGTTGTTTTTTATATTGATATCTGTTAGTTGTTGCGTAATTTACAATGTTTAATTTTGGCATAAATAACAAAAATCTTACTATATAAAGATGTCTAAGTTTTGTTAGATCTCATCTGACAAACATTTCAGGTAAATTATGAGAGCATAGGTATGGATTAATCCATAGAATGCTTGACATAATTCTAACAAGCAATTTGACTATTATAGTCTAACAAGCAATTACTTCTCATTTGTTCTCACGGGAAGTCATTGTTATAGCCGTCAGATGTATCGAGATAGTAAAATTAATGTATGACATGTCTATCATTTGTTGACTACGA